TATATATATATATATATATATATATATATGAACATATATATTTTGGATCTTTGTCTGTGTTTCGTGCAAAATAATAAAACAAACAAGTATGAATGAATGAATGCTCAGCTCTTTCATGCAAACTCGTTCCTATAGCTATACATACAGATAGATATAGATATATATCTCTCAGTTCAGAGATCGGATCAACATTTTCGACAGCAATCCATCCAGTAGAGCATATAGACAGCATGCACCTCATTATTAGCTGATGTAATGTGTGTGCTTTGTATTTTCCTCATTTTAAGTTTTTATTTTATATAATTAGTTTTACATTTTACAAGATAACAAAAGCAAATACAAAATTGAATATTTGAATATTTATTTAAAATGTTTATTTTTATTCCTTTAATTTGTGTTAAGCTCTTTGTGCCTTGGTTTCTTTCGCTTTGTGCCCAGTTTATAGATCACATATGCTATAGTAGCCCGGACAGACATCGCATTTCTTGGGCGAGTCATTACTATTCGGATTTAGTGACAAAAAGTAGTTGCGAGCAGCGGCCAATATATCGGAAACATTGTCATGCAGCTCCGTAATCGTATATCCGCTGTAATAGTCCAAAACTCTTGTACCAATTTGATAGAGCACCGTTTCGCTGGCCAGATAGAAATGCAGTACATCATATAGATCTTGCCACATATCTTGCATGAATATTTCCGTCATATTCAGTACGAATCTCATTCCAGCCTCTGGCAGAACATCCGCCAAGGAGAGCAGAGCTGTTTCGAAGCTCTCCGCATTCACAATATGCTCGAATATCGATGGTCCATAGCTGGAAAGGGCGATCCTGACGCCATCGCACACCAGACTGCTGAGCCTCAATATATCAATGCCTTCGCCATAATTGCTGTGCGTTCGGTCCAATTGATTGGCGAGCGATGGATTTGTTGGTGCGCTTAGCCAGGCATCACCTCTGAGGGCTGCGGCCGGAATAGATCGCACTCCATTCACTTTGTGGCTCTCTGGAATTGACTGCGTCACCTTGCCTAGCACATCGGGTCCCTTATTGTGCTGCAAGTTAGCTCGCAGTTCGGCTCCTGTGGTCTTCACCTCGTTGTTCAATATCAATCCCGTGCCATCCGCAGCGAAGGTGGGTCGAATGCCTTTCTGGTTCAACTGCTTATTGATCTTGTAGAGATCATTGAACTCCTTGCGTGAGGGCATCTCGTTCACATTGCGAATGATGTCCAGCTTGCCCGTTGAAGCGCCGCGTGTGCGAATCGTCTCCTTTGACAATTTGTCAAACATACGCCTGCAATGGAGAGATTAAATACAATTTCAAATTAGTTAAATAAAGGGGAATTCCCCTTTCACATTGTAAATCGTATGTCATAGATTAGATTGTCAAACAGGAAGCCATTTTAATAGCCTATTAGGTAATTGCATTAAATGC